AAGCAGAGGTAGCAGCAGGGGGTTGTGGGAAGTGGCAGCAGCGCGGGGAGCGGTGGGAGCTATGGAAAGTGGCTGTGGCACTGGGAGTGGGAGGGAAAGCAGCAGGGACATGGGAAGTGGGGAGAGTGGTGGTGGTGGTGGTGGCTGGGAAGAAACAGCAGCAGTGATGGGCAGGTAGGTGGGAGGGAGAGTAGGGAAATGGCAGGGGTGTGGTGGCAGGACCATGGAGTTCCTGTTGGTGCCCTGGGGCTAGTGGGGACCCGGGGTGGGGTAGCTGGAGCCTGGAACCATGGGCACAGGGTCTGCATCGCTTGAGGCTCGCACACGGTCCATGAGAGCCACGTGCAATGGAGCCAGCAGCCTGGCTCTCGTTCTTCTACCCACCCACCCGCTCTCGAACCACATACATCCCCTTACTTTCCACACATAATATACAGTAGGACTGTATGGAGCTATTATGCAATCACCTCTAGATACACCTTGCCAACACACAAATCAGTACAAAAATATTTTTAAATAAAATTAAAATAAGCTATAGTAGGGTTTTTTTGGGGGGGGGCAGGTTTTAATATAGAATTTGGGCTTGTTTCTGGTGTCAAGACTGGAGCACCCTCCCTCTCAAAAGGAGTGCTTTGGGGCAAGGGGAGGGACTTCTGGTGGCAAAGGTCAGGAGTTGGGGAGGGGCAGGATGTCTAGTCCCAATATGGCAACCAGGGGTGGGGCAACTGTTGAGGGGTGGGGTTACCCATACGGCCCTCGACAGCTTGCCAAACCTCCATTAAGCGGCCCTCCACCCAAAATAAGTGCCTGCCCCTGGGTTCATAGAATATAAAGGGCTAGAAGGGACCTCACAAGATCATTGGGTCCAGCCCCCCTGCACTTGGCAGGAAAGACAACTGGGGATCAGGTGATCCCAGTGAGGTGACCATCCAGTCTCCTTTTGAAGATTTCCAGGGTAGGTGATGGTACCACCTTAGGGGGGAGTTTATTCCACAGTCTGGACACGAACTGTGAAGAAGTTTTTCCTAGAGTTGAGCCTGAAGTGGTCTTCCAGGAGTTTGTGGCCATTACTTCTGGTTTTCCCCAAGGGTGCCCTCATGAACAGTTGGTCACTGAGCCCTTGATGTACTCCTCCTGATAAAGAGCTACCAAGTTCCCTCTCGGCTTTCTCTCTCTTTAGGCTGAAGAGGCCCAAGTCCCTCAGCCTTTCCTCATATGGCCTGCCTTGCAAGTCTCTGATCATACGGGTGACTCTTCTCTGGACTCCCAAGTTCTTCCGTGTCCTTGTTGAACTGCGGTGCTCAGAACTGGACACAGTACTCCAGCTGTGGTCTCACTAATGCCGAGTAAAGTGGAAGAATCACTTCCTTGGTTTTATATGAGATGTGTCAGTTGATGCATGCCGGAGTATTGTTTGCCCTGCTGGCTACAGCATCGTACTGATGGCTCATGTTCGTGCTATCGTCTACTGTTACCCCTAGGTCCCTTTCAGTCGTAGTGCTAGTCAAATTGGTGTCACCGAGCCTGTAAGTGTGTTGGGGACTTTTTGTCCCCAGACAGAGCACTTTATACTTCTCAGTGTTGAACTTCATCTGGTTCCAACCCACCCAACTCCCTGTCCAGGTCCGATTGTATCTGCAGTCTATCTTCAAGCGTGATCATGCTCTCCCATAACTTGGTGTTGTCTGTGAACTTGGCCAGTGAGCTCTTCACTGCCACAGTAGCAACTTTCAGTTGGAGCAGACTTCATGTATCCTCCTTCATTGACTTGCCTCAGTCACCTTTGATTTCACTGAATCAATCAGCATAATCAATGACAGCTGGAGAAACAGACAGGTTGTTGGCTGTAGCCATGTTGGTCTAGGGATATAGACAGGGAGGTTCTTTGGGTAGATGTGATATCTTTTATTAGACCAACTAAGTAGTTCTTGGTTGTAGCTGTGTTGGCCTAAGGAGAAACATGCGTGCTTTCTAAAATGGCTTTAAAACAATTGTCTTGTAGCCTGTAAACTGCAACGCATGGCTGTTAGAATTGAGAAGCCAGTTGGTTTTGAAAAACAGATCTCAGAATGCCATTCGGTCGAGCCAGTTTTACGCTGCGTGAAAGGATGCTCAGCCACCAAAACCGTTCCCATCTCTGTTGGCTTCCGTTGTGCGCTAGCTGGTAAGTCTACACAAGCCATATCCGGTCAGCAGACTCCAGCCTGTTTGCTCAGCCAGCATGTCCACATCGCACTGTTAAGACTCCCAGGAGTTAGCACCCCCCAGCTCTGCAGCTGTAGGAGGGAGAGCAGCCCCCTCCTGCCACACAGCTGTTCCAGATGCAGACAGTTTGCCAAGAACCTTCAGCCCAGAGGGGGGAGGAGGGAAGAGACACAGGCACATCTAGAAAGGGGAAAGCTGGGGTGAGGTGCATCAGCACCTACAAATGCACTATTTTCTCCCATTAAAAAACAGAAGTGACAATTTTTGCCTGAGCTGGCACCAGAAAGCAGTTTAAAGCTGTGACCAAATAAAGTGCATGGCAGCAGACCGCTTAAGAAGTAGCAGATCTGGTAAAAATCTGATCCCTCATTGAATGAAATATCCGATGCACGTTTCAAAATGTAGCATCTTTTGTAACCTGTGTTTGGGAAGCTCCCGCTCTGTGTCCGGTGTCACAGGGAGGGGTGGGCGATCAGTCGCGGGGGGCGCTCCAATTTCCGTCCCAGTCTTCAGCACCGGCTGCCCAATATGGCAACCAGGGGTGGGGCAACTGTTGAGGGGTGGGGTTACCCATACGGCCCTCGACAGCTTGCCAAACCTCCATTAAGCGGCCCTCCACCCAAAATAAGTGCCTGCCCCTGGGTTCATAGAATATAAAGGGCTAGAAGGGACCTCACAAGATCATTGGGTCCAGCCCCCCTGCACTTGGCAGGAAAGACAACTGGGGATCAGGTGATCCCAGTGAGGTGACCATCCAGTCTCCTTTTGAAGATTTCCAGGGTAGGTGATGGTACCACCTTAGGGGGGAGTTTATTCCACAGTCTGGACACGAACTGTGAAGAAGTTTTTCCTAGAGTTGAGCCTGAAGTGGTCTTCCAGGAGTTTGTGGCCATTACTTCTGGTTTTCCCCAAGGGTGCCCTCATGAACAGTTGGTCACTGAGCCCTTGATGTACTCCTCCTGATAAAGAGCTACCAAGTTCCCTCTCGGCTTTCTCTCTCTTTAGGCTGAAGAGGCCCAAGTCCCTCAGCCTTTCCTCATATGGCCTGCCTTGCAAGTCTCTGATCATACGGGTGACTCTTCTCTGGACTCCCAAGTTCTTCCGTGTCCTTGTTGAACTGCGGTGCTCAGAACTGGACACAGTACTCCAGCTGTGGTCTCACTAATGCCGAGTAAAGTGGAAGAATCACTTCCTTGGTTTTATATGAGATGTGTCAGTTGATGCATGCCGGAGTATTGTTTGCCCTGCTGGCTACAGCATCGTACTGATGGCTCATGTTCGTGCTATCGTCTACTGTTACCCCTAGGTCCCTTTCAGTCGTAGTGCTAGTCAAATTGGTGTCACCGAGCCTGTAAGTGTGTTGGGGACTTTTTGTCCCCAGACAGAGCACTTTATACTTCTCAGTGTTGAACTTCATCTGGTTCCAACCCACCCAACTCCCTGTCCAGGTCCGATTGTATCTGCAGTCTATCTTCAAGCGTGATCATGCTCTCCCATAACTTGGTGTTGTCTGTGAACTTGGCCAGTGAGCTCTTCACTGCCACAGTAGCAACTTTCAGTTGGAGCAGACTTCATGTATCCTCCTTCATTGACTTGCCTCAGTCACCTTTGATTTCACTGAATCAATCAGCATAATCAATGACAGCTGGAGAAACAGACAGGTTGTTGGCTGTAGCCATGTTGGTCTAGGGATATAGACAGGGAGGTTCTTTGGGTAGATGTGATATCTTTTATTAGACCAACTAAGTAGTTCTTGGTTGTAGCTGTGTTGGCCTAAGGAGAAACATGCGTGCTTTCTAAAATGGCTTTAAAACAATTGTCTTGTAGCCTGTAAACTGCAACGCATGGCTGTTAGAATTGAGAAGCCAGTTGGTTTTGAAAAACAGATCTCAGAATGCCATTCGGTCGAGCCAGTTTTACGCTGCGTGAAAGGATGCTCAGCCACCAAAACCGTTCCCATCTCTGTTGGCTTCCGTTGTGCGCTAGCTGGTAAGTCTACC